ACACTAAATAATCTGAATATTGATAATAACATGCAAATGAAATAGACTTCTAAATTAAATCTCGGAGTAAATTTCAAGAGAACACATGCATAATAAAGTGATACGACAGTTGTGCTTAAGGTCTCCCTTAAAGAGGTTTTCAAAAGCCAGTAAAATCCTACTTACGAAGTAGAAAATACTCAAATATTCTCCATTGAAGACTGTTCTTTTCTTTTTTTTCTCTTTTTTTTGGTAAGTTGCCATTCTTGAGATCTGACTAGTAAAGCAAAGTTTCTGAAACATTTCAACTTGTCAAAAAGTTCTCCTTCATTCGCATTAATGTGACATGTGACACAAAGTGGTTTCCTACCTTGAACTGAGGGGGATATGTAGAGATGCCTGATTTCAAGCTGTCTTGGAGGAGACAAAGTACTTGAAACACTCAAAAATCATAAATACTTTCCTGTGAAATAAACAACCCCCAGGATCTTTGGATTTATGACTTCCAGTAGCCAAAGAATTTTGCTTATCTAAAATAAATTCTGGGATATTTTTAATATAAAAATATAATACATTTGACTTTGGCAACACAGAAATAGAAAGTTCACAAGTGCCTCCTTTTGGCAGAGGATGTAATATTTCTTGATCGTCAGAGAGTTGCTGAGTTAAAAGACCGGAGTATTGGAGCCTTTATGCCCTGTCATTTGTCTGCCTTGTGATATAAGGTTCATGTAATGCAACACCACCGCGTTAATGCAATTATATGACGAGGACAGCAAAAAAAAAATTTAAAAAAAGACAAAAAAAAGAGACACGTCCAAAACGATGTTTTAAAGAAAAACTCTAAGTAAACAGGAATCTGTAGGATAGGTTATACCTACAGAAGAAATCTATCACACTTCTACCTAGAACAGATGAAGTTTTTCTTCCTGTTTCATTATGGCAAAGTGTCTGAAGAAGCTGTGTAGAAAAAAAGAACTGTATTTTCTGAAAAACACTGCAGTTTGGTCTGCCTATAGTCAAAGATTAGAAACTGATGACAAAATGATTTTAAAAAAAAAATCAACTATGTATATGTGAGACTCTAAATATGTTAGAATTGTCCTATCTGGAGAAGAAATGAGGACTATAACATCATAAGTAGCGTGGATAAGGTGATCAACTGTCCAGTGTCTCTCCAAATACAAACATGAAAATATCAGGAAGCGATGTCAAAATACAGGAGGCATATCTTCATATCTGTGGCTGAGTTATACAATTCATTCTTACAGGAAAGTGGATGATAGAAATTCACAGTGGCTCGAAAGCCATCAGGCATATTTATGGAAGAAAAAGTCACACAAAAATAAAGCTATTCAGCATACTAAATAGAAAGACAGAATTCTGGCTCACAACATCCCTTGATAGCAACTCAGTGGCATCCGAGAAAATGTGTAGGAATGTTATAAAATATTGAAAGATTTATCTAATAAGTATGAAAATCAGGGCAGTTTATGACAGAAAATGGTGCATTTTTAACGTGCTCTTTTTAGAGAGAAATTATTGACTAATGTGCCATTTCAGTACACTAAGGCAGTAACATTACAGACTTCATTTGAAAAGTTTGAAGGAAAATAGGGAAAAAGCTGCACATGTAAGAGAAGTTTTGCCATCTGTGAAAGCAAGATGCCTTTACTTAGAATCATAGAAATCATTTAGGTTGGAAACGACCTTTAGGATCATTGAGTCCAACCGTAAACCTAGCACAGTCAAGCCCACCACTAACTCATGTCCCTAAGCACCACATCTACACATCTTTTAAATGCCTCTGGGGATGGTGACTCAACCACTTCCCTGGGCAGCCTGTTCCAGTGCTTGACTACCCTTTCCGTGAAGAAATTTTTCCTAATATCCAATGTAAACCTCCCCTGGCATAACTTGAGGCCATTTCCTCTTGTCCTATTCCTTGTTTCTTGGGAGAAGAGACCAACCACCACCTGGCTACACCCTCCTTTCAGGTCGTTGTAGAGAGCGATCAGGTCTCCCCTCAGCCTCCTCTTCTCCAGACTGAACACCCCCAGCTCCCTCAGCCGCTCCCCATCAGACTTGTGCTCCAGACCCTTCACCACCTTCGTTGCCCTTCTCTGGACTCGCTCCAGCACCTCAAGGTCTTTCTTGTGGTGAGGGGCCCAAAACTGAACACAACTGTGGGAGATTTAAACACGGAGTAACCGATAGCAGCACTCACTCAGTGAGGCACGCTGGGGCGACAACGGTAAATTCTGTGGCTAAGCGCTAGATTGAGGCAGACAAGGGGGGGGTCCCAGAGCCAGGGAAACCTGAGGAAGACCAGAGACACCTGCCAGAAATCGGCAGCTCTCGCTAGCCAGGCTGACCTGATGTGTCCTGGGCATTGCCAGGAGCAACTGCAGGAGTTACAAACAGCCCTAGGGAGTGCCAGCGACCAGGAGCGCTGCAAGCAAAGCAGGCAAACAGGGCGTGGCGCAGCAGTTTGCACAGGAGTTGGTGCGGATGGGTGCGCCAGAAGGGCACTGAAGCTTTGCCAACTCAACCAGGCAGCAATGGTATCCACCTGGCAGAAAGCCATGGCCTCTCTAAGCTCTGCACCCACCACGACTGACACAACTGCCCAGACAGAATTGCTCCGGTTGGAACACGCTGCCACCCAGGTGTTGGGCTGCAGGCTGTGCCCTACTCCTGCACCAGTACCAGACAGCACAAGTGAGCCCAACTCTAGCTATTGGGCTAGAGTAGGAAATGATTTCATGCTAGTCTGACAATTTCATGTGGGCAGTAGCATTTGAGGACTAAGAACACCTTGTTTGAAATGCCTTCCCCCAGTCTGCCCTAAAATTGCACTTTAAAACAGTTGGCTAAATTTTTCTCATCCTGACTTTTGCCTGGTTTGTTTCTATGTGTGAGCGGAGAAGGGACAGAAGAGGATCAGTGGAATCACAAGGAAAAGCAATAAAACATTGTTGAAAAATAAGTTGCAATATATCCTTTTTCAAGAGAACAGAAAGCAGAACCATCAGAATTATGGGAAGAAATACTGTACTGATTTTCAGAAAACAATCTGATTTATAAAGTGTAAGATAGGCAGTGCAAATCTGATTGTATAACCGCTTGGAATTCTTAACTAATCTTGTATTCTATTTACGTCTCCTTACAGTATGCATGCACCTGATAACTGACGCTTTCAGGCCTGAATACCTCTATCCTAGACAGTTTTCTAAGCCGTCACAACTTCAATGGACCACGTAACTGCTCAGCTGGATTACCTGCTAATTGTTTGCTCTGGTGAAGTGCTAAGCAAAGCCTAGCTCTAGAAATATGCCTGGTCTGGCTGATACAGAAGTAACTGACTACCAGAATTTTAACTTCAAGCCAAGTATTTTTCTGGTTCAGGTGAGTTTTCAGCATTTTGCAAAAAGCTTTATAAAGAGCTGCCAATATAATTATATATACATATATAGTTTTTGTTTTTACATATAGCTAAATAACCAAACCCTAGGCTTCTGAACTGTGCCACAAAGTTGGAATATTCTGATCTACACTATTCCATAGATGGTAAAATGCATCCTTTTGAATGTCTATGCTACTGGACAAACTTTGCAGACAGATAATATTTTCATTAGACCAATTAGTTTTCCAGAAAAAAAACCCAAGCTTCTAGACAAGCTTTTTAGTACAAAAGCCATTCATCAGGTCTAAAGCAGAAGCTAAAAACAAACTGAGAAAAATTGCTTAGAATTGATTAGAAATACTGCTGGTACCTGTGGAGCAGAGAAGTAATTTCCTAGGGATTGCTTTCCACATGCATAAGCATTTCCAAAAATGCCAGTGCTGCATTAACAGATATCAAGTATCAGACTTTGCTTTCCCTCACATTTCTGTAAGCCCCAGCTTGAAAACTTGGTTGGAAAAGATGACAATCACATTTACAAAAGTCAGATATTATCACTGAGAAGATGAAGACTGAGGTCTCTCTACTCACTTTAACTCATCTTGAGCTATTTTTTCTTGTACATTCAGCGCTCTACTTCTCAACTCTGTGATCATTCTGTCAGCCTCACTCTGCAGTTCTGGAAGACTCTTCTCCAAGGTCTCATCCTGGGTTCTGAGTGTCTCATTCAGTTTTATAGCATCTTCATTTGCAGCTGCAGGGGGCCAAAAAAAATTATGTGGGGAGTTAGTAAATAAAAACAACAGAGAGGCTTTAAGCATCTGCCCATGAACTCTATCAGCAAGTGGAATGCAACTTGCACTGGTTATTCCTGTTGTAAAATACAAAGGATGATTAATCCAATGATAAGTGACAAATGAGCAAATGCTATATGTTTCATCAGACCTTTTATTATAGCTCACTTTCAAGTACAATAATTAAAGTGAAGAAGTCTTTATGTCCAGTATAAGAAATATATTGCTTCCCTCCTGCTCCCCCTGAAAGAACGTATTTGCACGAACCTTCCAAACAGCAGAAGATAATCTGGTATATTGCTCACAGAATTAAGGGGCAGCCAGTACAAGTAATGAAACCTAGATTTAAACTACTTTTGGAGAACTTAAAAATATGTCATTTTTAGCATTCAGATTTAACAGTGCTAGGAAAAATAAATGATTGGGAAATTTCAGAAAACAAAGTAGAGAGAAGAGGAGTGAAAGACACCCACAGGTGTCTAAACCCGCTCATGTGTTTAGAAGCAGATACCCAAAAATGGAAAAGAAGGGTATGAAGGTTGGAATAGATAAAGGTACACTGTAAATGTATTACATGTTTGGAATAGCTGAATCATTCCTAACTTTGTACACAGAAACCTGTATGTACATACAGCTGTACACATGGTATCATATTCAGGGACTGACTAAAATCTTTCTGCCATAGCACACCACAATATACTAGAATATACACTTTCAGAAGCAATTAGATAATTTACGACAATCAGTCCCATCTTCAATTTTAAAAAGTACTGCCGCCTTTCTATAGGCACAGGGCTCTCAACTAACTGGTTTCTCCAAAACAGCAGAGGTCCTGGTTGCATGGGTACTTCTGAATATTTTAAATTAAATCTTTAGTTGAAGAAATTAATATCTGTCTTCCAAAGTTCAAATAAATTACTATTTCATCTACACATTGTGTAGGTTTAGTGCAAATTATGAAGAAAATTCTAATCCAATGATGTCTTTGATTTGCTGGTGAGAACTGAGATTTGGATCCTTAATCAAGAGTGGTTATGTGTGGGGTAGTAAGGACTGGAAAAAGACTACAATTTCCTTAAATGGATCATGAATCGCTTCTGTGCGTTATGTTATGTATTGTTACTAAGTTACCTCAGGCCAGGAATAGGCATATATTAATATATTTGTTTTAATCTGGAATAAATAAATAGTAATTTAACCTCCTTGAATATTTACCTTAAAAGAGAAAATGAATATATTATCTCAGCTTTTATTAGGTTCAGGAAAATTTATACCTAGCCTTATCTTTCTCTTCCATCCTGCTCTTCTCATAACAATCTTTACTTTCTAGTCGTAGTATACTGCAAATTATCAGTCCAGCGGTGGTAAAGATTTGGATGCATTGACACAGACAAACACAAAGAAGTGCAAAGCTGGGGAAATTCCGTAGTTAAGAGGGAAAACTAGTTATAGGTACTCAGAAGTTCAGAAAGTCAGCAATCAGTTTGGTAGAAATGTATCGATGGTCCAAGTATGGTCATTACAACAAAATCACTACAAACTTCTCACATGTAATGAGGAGTTTTTATGTTTTGAAGAATTCCATGTTTTCCTGATGTTTAGGGAGGCATCTGTCAGATCTACAATCAGGTACTTCTGAGCACTGCCATTCTCAAGCATTACCTTCAGTCAATGGAAAGAAACAGGTCCTTTCATGGCATTTCATCCTAAAGTTGCCTACTAGCAACAGATACTAGGGAGCTCAGGGTGACAGATACAGGCCTGCATTCCTAGAGATCCAAAGTACCATAACTTCCAGAAATCTGTAATCCAGGTTTGGGGGACAAGGAATTGACATAAAGAATACCTGCAAACTGGTTGGTCATCTCAGTCAGGTCATCATGAGGGGACATAAAGTCTTTAAGGAACAATCTAGCAATGCCTTATAGGTCAAAAAGAGCAGACACAAAGAAGGTGTAGCGTCAATATGCAGATAAAATGCCATCAAATTTTAAAATAATCTAAGAATGGCTCCAACATAAGGTGAAAATTTATCCTCAGTAATTGGAAGATAGTGATCTAGAACAGGAAGATAATTGAGGATAGCAATCAGAGCTAAGCATATAGAAATTATCACAACCAGAGGAAGAACATTTTGAAGAACTCAAGCTGGAATGGCCAGAGAACTGCCATTCTAGAAACCTGAAAGATCTGGTACGTGACATTGCAAATCCAGGAAGACGACTGTTTGACTGAGAACAAGCAAAAGTAGTGCCTGTTTTGAATAAATGGGAATTCCACTATGGCTTGAGAACTTTGGAAGTAAGCAGAAAACAGGATGTGGAATAAATGAATGTGGTGGGTTTTTTTTGGTTTTGTTTTTTCCTAAGGTAGCACATGTCAGACTATATGGTTTAATAGCAAATCCAGTTCAGTATTTTCATTAATGATTCTGGGGCTGGGGACAGGGAAGGGAAGTCTACAGGTAAAATATGCTTGTGAGGAAAAATTGTAAGATAGTCTTAGTGGAGAAGGATTGGAATGCTATGCAGAAAGAACTGGGTGACCTTCAAAACTGAAGTAATAGGACCGGAAGGAGATTCAATACTAGAAAATATAAGATTGTGGACTAAATAACAACAGAAATTTCAGCTGTAAACTACAGCTTTGCCAGTTAGATAAAAAGTAAGAATGAGAAGAACATAGCTATATTACGAATCTCCAATGGCACCCAGCTATGGAAAAAAAGGAAATGCTATCCCAGAATGTATTAGGAGAACTGACATGGGCAGGTTTTACTGCTACTGAAGCGCAAGACACTGAGGCAACCTCATTTTCATGCTTGTAACCTATGCTCGGGAAAGATGAACCTAATTTTGAACACAGAAAGGGAAATTGGATGAGGGTGAGTAGCAGATTTGGGGAAATATGCTTTCAGGTGTTTTAGCCTAGAAAAAAAGGGGAATATGATTCCTGTCTACAAACATAACTGGGGGTGGGGGAAGCAGGAGAAGCACTAGGGAGAGGAAAAAAACCTATTTGAACGAAAGAACAGAGTTGACAAAAGAACAGATGATGATAAACTAAACATGAATATTTTTAGTTAGAAGTTAGAAAGTTTGTAGTTATGAAGAGTTCTGAAAGTGCCTCCTATTCAGATTACGTGTATTTGTGGAAACTACTTTGAAGATGAGGGTTAGAAAGTTTATGATAGCAGGGGAGTGGATGCAGCAACTCAAGAGGTATCTTTCAGTCCTGTGCCCCTATATTTCATCTATTCTTAAAACGTTAACTTGGCCACTAGGCAAACACATTGATTTTAAAGTTTTTGTCTACTTTTAAGATACTGCACAAATTTATTTCACCCCCTCAACATCTTCTAACTCTGTACTTCCTATTGCTAAATCTGCTTGAAGGAACTTTTGTTTGGGTTACAAACATTGGGCATAAACTTTGTGGAGCAAAAAATTGGTTTAGCCCTTGTCATCCCAAATTCATCTTGAAATATGAGGAACCTGGTCTTTTGTTTAAAAAAATTCTTGAATACTTGCTTACTTTTTCTTGTTGCTTTTCCCACATTTATTTAATGTCAAGTTGGACGTCCTAAAGATATCCTAAATTGCTGTTTAGTTCAGCTACAGGGGACGTATGGGGATGTGTTACATCAAAGGTAATATAAAATGTATTTTATAGCACTTGGACAAAAGTGAAAGCTTTCCCTTTCAATGAAATGGACCTTCAGAAGCATAACTACTGAAATCAGTACTGTAGTGGGAGTTTTGAGGAAGAAAGAACAGATCAGTATATTTCAAGTAAAAAACCTGCCTGTGATTGCCAATCATTTTCGTATTTTTCAGCCATTACTTTATTTAACAGTTTCATGCAATATATAGCTTGTGCTTCTCAAAGTCATCTACAATAGTTTTGCTCATAAGTCTTTACTGCTTTGTAAGTGCAGTGAATCAGCTTATGGAAGAAAGCGGTGGCTCCATACCACTGCTTAGGCAGGGTTAGGAGTCACTTGCAAATTCCAAGCAGCAGATGTTCATTAACAGCAAGTAGTAATGTATTTTTTAAGTAATTTTGGGGAATTAAGATGAAGTGGTAATGTACCAAGTGCTAAAATTACATCAAGCGTTTTTACCAATACATGTTTTTAACTGCTTTGAAAATAAACAAAAGCTAAACTCTGTTAGTTACTTCATCATAATAGCTTTTCTTCAAATAACTGCAAAAATCCTGAAGGAACATACTCAATATTCTGCTAGTCTTTTTTCATAATTACCAATACACTAACTGTTTATGTAAACTGCATCTGTAGATTGGAAAAAGTCTGAAGACAGTTGATCATAGTTTCTTCACTCAACATTTAAAGCACATGACAAGGAAGAGCCAGGGCACTATAGGCCAGTCTCACCTCTGTGCCTGGCAAGATCATGGGGCAGAAACTCCTGGAAACTATGCTAAGGCACATGGAGAAAAAGGAGGCGATTGCTGACAGTCAACATGGCTTCACTAAGGGCAAACTACCTGACAAATTTGGTGGCCTTCTATGATGGGGTTACAGCGTTGGTGGATAAGGGAAGAGCAACTGATGTCACCTACCTGGGCTTGTGCAAAGCATTTGACATTGTCCTGCACAACATCCTTGTCTCTGAATTGGACAGATACGGCTTTAACGGATGGACCACTTAGTGGATAAGGAATTGGCTTGATGGTTGCACTTAAAGAGCTGTGGTCAACTGCTCCATGTCCAAGTGGAGATCAGTGATGAGTCGCATTCCTCAGGGGTCAGTACCAGCACTGGCACTGTTTAACGTCTTGTCAGTGACCTGGACAGTGGGATTGAGTGCACCCTCAGCAAGTTTGCTGACAACACCAAGCTGTGTGGTGCAGTCGACATGCTGGAGGGAAGGGATGGCATCCAGAAGGACCTTGACAGGCTTGAGAGGTGGGCCTATGGAAACGTCATGAAGTTCAATAAGGCCAAATGCAAGGTCCTGCATATGGGCCACGGCAATCCCAAGCACAAATACAGGCTGGGCAGAGAATGGATTGAGAGCAGCCCTGAGGAGAAGGACTTGGGGGTGCTGCTTGACGAGAAGCTCAACATGACCCAGCAATGTGCGCTGGCAGCCCAGAAAGCCAACTGCATCCTGGGACACATGAAAAGCACTGTGACCAGTAGGTCGAGGGATGGGATTCTGCCCCTCTACTCCGCTCTGGTGAGACCCCCCCTGCAGTACTGCCTTCAGCTCTGGGATCCTCAGCACAAGAAGGACATGGCCCTGTTGGAGCGAGTCCGGAGGAGGGCCACAAAGATGATCCAAGGCCTGGAGCACCTCTGCTGTGAAGACAGGCTGAGAGAGTTGGGTTCTTCAGCCTGGAGAAGAGAAGGTTCCAGTAGTCTTCCAGTACCTAAAGGGGGCCTACAAGAAAGCTGGAGAGGGACTTTTTACAAGGGCATGTAGCGATAGGACAAGGGGCAATGGCTTTAAACTGAAGAGGGAAGATTTAGATTAGATATTGGGAAGAAATTGTTCATTGTGAGGGTGGTGAGGCACTGGAATAGGTTGCGCAGAGAAGTTGTGGATGCCCCTTCCCTGGAAGTGTTCAAGGCCCAGTTGGATGAGACTTTGAGCAACCTGGTCTAGTGGAAGATGTCCCTGCCCATGACAGGAGGTTGGAACAAGATAGTCTTTAAGGTCCCTCAACAAGCAAACCATTCTGTGATTCTGATTTCTCAGTGACTAAACTCTTCCTCACCATCTCTCAGACCCTCTTCCCTACCATCCTTCAGTTTTCTTGAGAAACAATTAGCATATTTTTTTTCCAATACCTTCAGCAGCTTGGAGAATGCCTTTGACGAACTGTGCAAGAGATTTCGCGCTGTCATTAGTCCTCTCAGCATCCTGCCTGGTTTGCTCACCATCTGCTGTCACCTTGGTCACCTAGTGATCCAAATTCAGGAAAAGTGTAATTAATAAACAGGGCAAGGCTGCACTGTGCGATATCCCTACTGGTTGAATCTATGCACAAAACTTTCCTCAGGCAAAAGGCAATCAATGAATTATTGATCAGATGCATGGGAAATGACATGCTCTGTTCAAGTACACAATTAAATTTTATTACCTTTTCCTTTAAATGGAAATTGGAAGGCTTTATTTTAGGTTCTTGGAAACCCTAGTTGTGTGCAACAGCACACAAAGGGAGACATGATGAAATTATTCACTGAATTTGCTTAAGGAAATGTTGTTTGGAACCTTTTAATAGATTCTTCAGGGAATACTTTCCATAGTTCCACAATTGTGCACTTTTCGATTGACAAAGTGCAGCAGATATCATGACCTCTTTGCTTCCTCCCTGGAGGCATTCTCAAAGAGACAGTTCATGCCAACAAGCAAGAAGAATTTTAAATCAATACATTAATTAAACTAAGAAATAAAGGAAAAAAAAAAAGCTGTTTTTTTCAGGTCTGGTCCTTGAAATTGTTTGTTTATAACATTGGGGTGCTCAGTAAAATTTTAGCTTGTGTAACTAAATGCTTTGTAATTGTATTCAATCACAGCAGCAACAGCAGGATGAAGACAGACATCTGCTGCAGACCTGAAAAACATGCTGAGGAAAGGAATCATCTTAAGACATTCTACTTAGCTCTCAAGGTTCCTATTTACAAAATGGACCCATTTCAAGCAACAAAGCTTGTCCAAACTACACTGTAAAGCAAAAAAAAAAAAAACCACCCCATTATTTTTTTCTTTGAGAACTGCATTCCCAAGAAATGTTTCGAAGCAGGGCATTATGATCTTTTCAGTCTCTGGGAAATGGCTAGAAAGTCAATAATTCAAAATGAGCTTAGGTTTTCCCTGACTTGAGCTGTACAAACTGTTTTCTCAGTTACAACCCCCCCTCCCCCCCACATTTCTCAATAATAGTCAAAGAGAAATAGTATCATTTTAACACATTTATTTTTGCCTGATTAGTTTCTAGATGGAAGCCCTCAAGATACATCAGGACAGCTGGGTTTCTGAAATAAAATCCCTGGCATCATCATATCCCTTACCATTTTGGTCTACTTCAGAGTAGTTACTCTGAAAATAATTTATATGAAAATAGTTCAGGTAAATAGAATTATACAGGAAGAATTAAGAACCCATACTGACTGGGGGGAGTTGGTTCTATTTCATCCCTATATCAGTAGAAGAATATGGCTTTTCACATTTATACAGCTTTAATCATGCTATTGATTACTTCCTCTAAGATTTACAAAACCCTTTTACCTACCTGGATACAGATCTAAAATATTGTCACAGTGAGCTGTAAGAGACAATTGGCATAGGAGAAGGGTAAAAATACAGAATGGTCTTGATAGACCACTGCTCTAACCCAGCTTGGCATTTCTGATGTCATTTCATTCTTTACGTAATTGAGAACTACCTTATTATTTATTGTCAAATCCTCCACAATCAGCCCTTTATTCTTTGGGTTTTATTTACTTGGAATTTTCACATTCACTTTTATTATATTCTATAATATTTCTAAGTCCTTTACTACAAATAGTATTTTATAACTTACATATACTTTACTAAGTTTTGATTACTTTTTCCACATTCATGTTAATTCCAATGGGCCACTTTAACCTCTCAATGTTTATGACTGAATGGCACATACTACATTTTTGTGCACAATCTGTCATCAAACAGTTTTCATTTCCTCTCGGTGACAGTTCTTTTTAGTACTTAAATCCCATTCAGCTCCACTGAAGGCTTTCTGTATTTGGTCATAATTTGCTTTGCTGAAAAATAACCTTTGGTTTCATTACCTGGTCTAGCTTTAACTCCATAAAGCAAATTCAATGGAAAACATCCTTCACACAGTACCTAGCCATTCCATGGCTAATTAAATGTTTCCATTTGTTAATATAGTCCTACTCGTTTTCTGTATCTTCAGTTTACTACAGTTCACCATTTCTATAAGGTGTCTTCAGCATCTCCTAACAATTTAAACAGGCACAATAAGAGAGCAATAAGGGTCAGGCAGATTGAACCCAGAGCAAGTGTTTGGAATGAATCTTCAAGAAGTCTGGACACAAATAAGACTTTTTGGCATAAAGGAGATCCCTGTGATGGAAATCTAGTAAAGAAAGTATCTGAGATCAGTGAACCTGCTTTGGTGATCTTCACAGCTTGTAGTTAGTGATGAAAGTTCCATGGAAGGCCCTGTCCCAATCTAAAGACTATTAGCCACTTAGCAACTTAGACTATCAGCAAGTATTAGCAATTTTTGTTTTGGGTTTGTTTTTGTGTTTAGTCTGAGGTCTTAATCAAGCCATAAGAAACTCCTCTGGATAACATCCGGAAGGGAGGCCCCATAGGAATTTCTCCAGCTACTGAGCTGCAGACCACAGAAGGAGGAGTAAACACAGACCTCACTGTACAGATGGAAGTTCTTGGCTCTCCCTCCAAATCCTTCCAACTATTGCAGACTAAGTTGCTTTGCTACTACTTCCAGAAATTTTTGAGCTTGAGAAATTCAGTGGTATGGGAGAAATGAAAAAGTTTACAAAGTCAAAAGAAGCATTTCAGTCAAGAGGAGTGATTCTGATCCCTGTCTTTCTTGAAAGCTCTGAAGGTATCTGATTAGAAGAAAAGAGGGGTTTTTGACTAAAACTAGTGAACTGAGAGGAATTGAAGAGTCTGAGGTCTGCTTCTGGTGGTAGATGTGGGAATGTGCATGCAAACATGTAAGAATGTAATTAGTGGGAGAAAGATGTGAGGATCTTCTGTATAGCAGAGTGAATGAAAGAAAGAACATGATAGGAAAAAAGAAAAAGGAGTGCTGCACTGATGTAAGAGATCACTGGTTGAAAAGACACCACAAGGAAGCAAAAACCTGAAAGGTTTTGTACTGACTAAATGCTACTGTCTTCTATATTTTATCTTAAATGGATAGAATTTTTTTTTCATGGAAATAGCCTCCTTACCAATCCCCATCAACCTTTTCCGCCATCACTGCTGGTTTCACTTTGAAAATTTAGTGAGCTTGCAAGTCAGATACAGGGAAAAAATTTGCTGTCTATGGTTGTACCATGTGCTCCAAGTGTTAGCCATTATGTGGTTATCAGCTATATCTTCATTTGGAAATGAGACTTGAACACACTACATGAGGACTAACTCTTGGTTTTGGGACATTACTCCTATTTACAGACATAGAACACAGACTGCCGCCTGTTGCCAGTCCCCAAATTAAAAAACCCAACTGCATTCCCATTAACAACTCTCTGTAAGGATAACTGGAGATCATAAGGCTACTTACTCATTGCAACAGCAGAAAACTGCACAAAGGGAAGCAGTGATGATCTGGCCACCACAGTAACTCCCCTAAGATCACACCTTCAATACTTTTCCTTCCAAGACTAGTCTACAGAAGGTCAGAATTTGAAACATTATTTTAGGTCATCTCCATGGGGGATTAAAATTTATTTAATTTGGGGGTGGGGGGGTAAATGGAAAAGGATACTAAAAAGAGCAACTATGCAAAGGAAAAAAATTGTCTCAGCCTACGACTGAGAAATTGTAATACAAGAAATATAATCTTCCCTGCTTGTTGGGCTGTCATGAGTTAAAAATCCACCTAGACTTAAAACTACCATGGTTATTTCTGGCAGAAAAATAAAAGATCAAGCAGAAGTGAAAAAACAAGCTTTCTTTACACTCACAATGACAGTATGTATAGATAGATACCTGCGTATACATACGTGTGTGTGGGCGTGTATAGACACGCACATACATGCATACATATGCAAACACACTACAGATGCTGTCTTACCCACTACCCATGATTTCATAGGTTTTTTCAAAATTGAATATAATCCACACAAACAAACCAGTTTCTCCAAAAATTTTAGTTCCGTAAGCCATGAATAATTTGAAGACATGCTGCTGAAAGTGTATGGGGTTTTGGTATATTCTCTCAGTTGTATATACATCAGTACAGTAATCCATGTCTTGGCTATTTCAATGCAAGGGAGCACAACTCAGGAACATGATTTTTGCTAGTCCTTCATATCAATATATTTCAGACAGCTGTATTTTTATTGTGGCTGGTCTATTTCCCTATTTTTTTCTCCACTAGGTGGCACAATTTATATTATTTTCTTAGACAATGTCTTTCGCTGACCAAAATAAGGTCTATATTGAAATAAAACTTTCCTAATAAGATGAGTAAATAGCACAACGATTGAAATCCAGAAGACTCTCACTACCCTCATAAATGAAATACAGAACACATATATTTAACTAAACTCTCACACCTTGTGCATATATTTGAATTCTCCCTTTAAATATTGTCCCCTTGTCAATTACTTCATTCATTGACTCTTAATGAGAACTTTTTTGTTAAGCCAGGACTTTCATTGCCTTGCTATAAAATTTCTTTAAAATAAGTGAATGAGGCTAGGCTACCATTTGCTCTAGAGCTGCTGGAGAAACAAGCTAACACAACAGGTAACCCAAAATCAAAAATGAAACTGCAAAACAGCAAAACTTTTCCTATAAAGCGCTCGAGATGGTTGGACACTAAGTAACTCTGAGTGAAGCCAGGCTACTTGTATTACAACAGGCAATCTTAAAAGAGAAACAGGCTGAGAACTATTTTGAGACAGTCAGACTCGGAAGATTTGAAAGGAAATATGATGAGATGATGTTGGTGATGCAGAAAGCAGATAGCCTTACTGGAGACAGTACTAATGTTCAGAAGAAAAGGAAAGAAACCAGCTGGTTGAGTTTCCAAAAGCCTTGGCCAGTCAAAGAAAAACTCCAGACATGAGAAACTGAGTGGTAATCCCATGGTTTTGTTGCCATTAGGTTTGTAACATAACCTGCAGCTGAAGTCATGGGAAAGCCCATAAATGGTGTATCTAGAATTCTTTTTCTTTTAGTGTCAGCTTTTCCAAATAAGCTCATTCTTGGGTGCTCTGCATGAGTGCTACAAAGTTTTCTTATTGTAAAGTTTTGCAGAAAATATATTTCAAGGTATTGGCCCACAAAAAGAGGTTGTTAGAGGACTTGCTGCCATTTCAAACACTGAGACTGAGAAGCATCTTATAATTCATCTATTCATTCATGTTTAATTCATATTCAGAAGATTTCTGTCATTATGCAGCCTTAACCAAACCCATAGACCCCAACGTGATCATAGACTTACTCTTGTCAGTAGTTCATCCATTTCTGTCACCAAGGTATCCAGATTTCCTTGTGCTAGCTGAAGAAGTCTCTCTGGTGCTCGCTGAGGTGAAAGCAAATGCTGTTGGGGAAGAGAGAAGGAGGAGTGAAAATCTGTATTTAATGGATCTCAGTGCTTCCAAATACTGTGGTGAAGAAGCATCAACAATTTCTTTTTCATTACAGCATGCAACTCCCCTTTGTCATTGACTCTTGTGTCACATCCATCCAACACACTTTTCTCAGGAGTCTTGACAGCTTTACACAGTTTAGTGGAGAACATGTAAGTATGGAAGGGCACATACAGCATATAAAATACATAACCACTTTATGGACCACCAGCATGAACACCATTTTATTTGCATGCGACATCAGTTTTTCTGTGCCTGCAGTATAATTCCTTGCACATATGTACACAAATTACTGCGGCAAGATTTATTTATTACAATGTTTGAACAGATTCAAGTACAGTTGTACTGAAGCCATATTATTTATGTATGTGAATACGATGAACATACCTTTAATTCCTGTGTCATATTCTCAAAACCGTGCAACGTTCTGTATGGAGCAGGTAGTGGACCACTAAGGTTAACACTCAGGATCATCTGGTTTAGCCGATTCAGTTCACTGAGAAGGAGTCCTGTGCATTCATCATCACAAGCTGGGGAGAAGAACAGCAAAGCATATTTATTCCCGCTAAATGTTTGACAGATGTTTGAGTTAGAAATTTTATGGCACACGTACAATTCTCTGAGGGATAACACTGATTTCAGATAATTTACCCCAAAAGCATAGTGTGAGAAAAAATGGAAACAACAACTGGGGAACAGGGAAGACCTTATTGCTTAGGACTTGGTAATGGGACAGTTTAATATAAAACATGAAGAGCAAAATTGGTAGGCTTACCTCACAAAAAGAGGAAATAATTAATGTTGTCCATTATGGACTAGCCAATATAAAAACCTAAATTAGAAAGCAACTTGGATGAAGTTTGAGAAAAGTGGACAAGTAATTTGGAAAATCTAAAGAGCACTTTAAGAAGTATAATATGGCTGTGGATATGAACATAAAAAACTAAAGAAATCTTAAAATTTACATACTTTATAGTCCTATAACAGCATGGCCAAGCATGCTAACTTGTAATGCAGACAGTAGAAAGAGTTCAGGTAAAAATACTGATAGTTTTCTTTTAAGAAGTGCTTTTCCCTACCTCCTTTTCACTAACCAACCTAAAAGTTTTTCATGTATGGTTCCTTTCTTGCAAATACTCTTTAGCATGAAAAATACTGGTGTGTGCTGCATATACCGAAAGGAGTTTGCATTTTACCCCCCTTGCTTTCTACTAACTATCACAAGCAATTCTCATAACCTTACAATTTTCTGTCATTTATGCTGCAGACAGGGAAATTCTTCATCCTTTGGAACAGAGTTGTGGGAATGCCTTTCTGTTTCGCTGCATAAAGATGCTACACAGAACTGGCAAACCTAAACAAGACCTCAGGAGATGGAGCAAACTGTGAAATAATGAATTCACTAGTGATGTTAAGAGACATGGAGGGTTGTACCTAAACTTTTACAAGTATGTAATTATTTCTTTCAGCAACATTCCTAGGTAGCTCAATGGCTAAAAAAAAACACTAAACCACACGCGTGTTTCTGTAGAAGAAGAGAAGTAATTTTCAACAGAGAATTACAGTATTTTTCTTGAAATCTATTCTTCATGTAGATTAAATCTTTCCTGTTCTTTAAAATTTTCACAGTTATCTAAATGTTGTTCTTATTCTGTAGGTTGGCTGTTCAATATAGCAAGGAGTGGAGTCAAATACAGAGAAAAGAATAATGAATACTAGTTTAATTCACTGTGAAAGTCATGTGATGATTGAAAAGGTGACAAGATAGATGCTGGATTAGTGCAGTAAGAAGTGGGCGCCGAAAGCTAGATACTGTTATTTTAAGACTTCCTTTTGCATTTTCATCGCTTCCATTTGCAGACTTCTTCCTCCTATTTCACAGTATGTTGTTACATAAGCTGAACTGCACTGGAGCTCCTCTGCAGTTGTTAACTGTGGGCATGATACATTTTGACTTATGTTTCTATGCGAAATTAAAAAAAAAAAAAAGCTGATTACCATCCCAGCTCTTGTCATCTGTGTGCTTGCTTTCAGAAGTCTGAGAGAATTAGAGGAAAAGCAAGTTTTACAGCCAACTGAATGTTTTACGTAACAAACACCTGTTCTGTAGCTGGTCAAGAAGGTAAGTAGACCTGGTAATCATTTTGCAGGATGCAAATAAGTGATCTCGGACCTGAGAAGAGTTGGGTTTTGTTCTTTGTTGGGTTTGGGTTTTTTTCTGATATATTATTTCACTTATGAAACAAGTTAAATCTATTCAACCTCAAAATTGTCAGATGCTTGGAAATAAAATGCTAAAATTTTGCTACATGTTAAAGACAAACTCAATTCACACCAATAAGAAAAAAATTAACAGCTTATGAAGATATGAAGTACTGTCAATGAGTAAACAATTGATAAGTGAGCATTTAGTATAAATTAACACTTCTTGCATGATACTCAGGTTGAAAAGAGAAACTACATCAAGTGAGGACCACAGTTGACTAGACGAGACAGGACTAAGCTGCTCCAATAAACAGTCTGAAATGTACTGTAGCTACAGGAAATATTTCAAGAGCATGACTATATTTTGCATGACTAAATAGTTCTGTGTCTATCTATAAAACTGTCAGAATAAATTTGTGTCTAATATTAACAAATGCAGCCCTAAATTCAGACTATTACTGCAGTGCAAGCACGTAAGAAGCAAATCATGCAGTCAATATTACAATAGTCCAGCAAGCAATTAATGCAAATTACTGCATTTTCCATTTTCACCACACTTTCTCATGCACAAGAAGTCCTGTAAGGACTCTGACTTACCTCTTGTAAGAAGCATCTCCAAAGTATGCATGCCAAAGAAATTAAAAAAAAAAAAAAAATTGCTCAAGTAGTAAAAAACACTGTAAGTTTAGGGACATCTAACCACTTGTTCCATCTTACAAAGACAAGATAATGTAAAATAAAAAAATCACATGTCTGAGCCACAAAGTGTTCCTCCAATTGCGTGAGCAATTGCCATTGCTGCTGTTTTCAGGAAGTTTGCATGATCAGTATGTCTCCAAAATCCAGGAAAATTCAGATCTAGATCGAGGTTTAAAGTACCAACTCAGGTTTATTTCTGAGTTTTGTTATTTAGAAAGCCTCATTTGCTAGTTCTGATACATACCAGTACTAGTTAGGTTTATATAGTGCTTGAGTTGGGCAAAACACATTGAGTGTGGGTCTAAACTCAACAGGAGCTCATGCATCAAAAAAAAAGGGAGAACAACTGATAGCTTATCATCTTCTAGGTCAAATAGGGGTGCCCGTCCCTTATGGAGTTCATGCAGACAGGGAAGCAGTTGTCCATCACAGAGGTAAGTTTCATTCTTATGGCTGTGCAATAAGGGCTCACAACATCTGTTAAACTCAGAACATAGCAGAAGCTAGATCTGGTGTTACACACAGTATCTTTCTTTTCAGCTCACTCTGTGAAGGCTTGTGATAAGAAGCTCCCAGCTCCTGCCGAATTAAGGACTGTGTAGGAGCTAGGATATGCTTCTTTTCACAGATTCTTCAAGATCTGCCTCTGACAGAGACAGCATCTCTGCTTAGTTCTGCATTTGGAAGGGCTGAGATCATGGAGCTACTCCCTATTTTATAGGGAAAACCTTGATTCTGCCAGGACTGGTGCCTAGAGCTCCCTTGTTCTCCTGCGTGCGGAACTGATTGGCAGCTGGGAAAAACCCCCTCTCATTGCAAGCACCAATCTGCTTAGAGTACGATATTTAAGTGTCCAAGACTGGTATTAAAGGAATCTGATTATATAATTTTCTCCTTCTACCAATATTGAATATTTAAATTCCTAAAGATGTAAGTTTGTTGTCTGCAGCACAGCTGAAGGTACTTTTTTTTTTTTCCACAAGACTGAGTTAAAGAAAAATTCCTAACAATGAAATATCTGTTTGATCTCTCTCTGTCATGATTGCTTCCTGTTCCCTGTTAATCTCGTACAGCAGAACCATATCGATTGCTTTACATTTAGGTTTTTGCTTGACCCCACGGTACATTTGTGACAGGAGCACACATCTGAGGAAAGGTTTTGCAGTTTGTGTTGCAACAGAGCTCAAAATTTTGAAGCCAAATTTTTTTGGAAGCCCCCATTGTACTCATGACTGGTGCCCTGAAAGTATTCAGAAGATGAGTTCTGACTTGCCATATGTTTAACAATAAAGCCTTGAAGATCTCACTAGGATTGTTTTTTCCTAAACACTGCACTGTAGCAAGCACAGTCACTGTTCCAACATCATTGCAATCTAAGGTTCTTCATTTTACATACTACAAACTCTACAACTGAAGTGGAATGTCACAAGGTATAACAAAAAATACACAAGAGAATTACTAATCTAAGAAAATGCACAATTGCTACAGGCTTGATCCAAAAATTACAAGGAAGCCTTCATCAGCAGAGTATTACGAGTATCTGTACATGACAATCTAGATGGTCACTTTAGCTGGGGAAATAATCCAGTTATTAACTGTACTCATGCAAAAAATTTAGAATTTTTATGACGTGTAGTAGACCATTCAGACTCTTGTATTACTTATTAAAAAAATCTACTTATTGGGTATCATTTTCCATTCCCTAATGGCATCCTAGAGAAAACAACATTGTTCTGTTCTAAGAATATAATGGGAAGTGAATTCTGTCTGTGCCGTTCACCTGTAATTATCTTTTCATTCTTATTTAGCAGTAAACAAATTCTTCTCCTTTGTACAGTGGCTTTTAAAAAATATATTCTCTTTCCATTCTACCTATAGCTTTCTAAAATATAACTGTTGTAACACAGCACTGAAAAGTGGCATGCACTAAGCAACTGAAAAATGACATGTTATGAAAAAAACAGTAAGAATCTGGTAAAACAGATTTTCAGCTCTATCAGAAATAGATCACTTTAATGAACATGCATGCTCCTCCAGGTTTTCTTCTGTCTTTTGACTGCAAATTTTCACTCTAAAACCTTTAGAATACTTATGACAAGGGATATGTTAAAATATAAATGTTATATTTAAACAATAATACATGACAATATTGTGGCTAAAATACCTCTCTAATTAGATTTAAATATGCATTATTTAGCTTTCACGTCATACTGTGTGGTGACCTCTTACAGAATTTGCCAAAAATTCATTATTCAGATGGTTATTCTTTGCTAAATATTCAAAATCAAATTTCACTTTCCTAAAAATGAGCTATAACGTACTAACATTGGACAGCTTAACCACTTATATTACTTACAACTAGATTTTTTCAAACATAGGTGATTGTATTTGCATATACTTTCTTTAAGCTAGACCATTTTACCACCTAACTAGGGGTTCTTCACACTTCTGACAGGTACAATGCAACTGCAGTATTTGAAATGGAACTCTGCAAACAAGCAAAAGTAGATACATGCATACAGCTCATTTGAAATATTGGATGCAAACAGGATTCTGCATATGGCATTAATTTTCTGTACATTAAGAGTACTTAATCACTGTTATTATTACTGTTAAGCTCTCGTTTCAACTGAAGCTAGTCAAAAGGGAATTTAGTATTTTGGAAGTGGTTGATACAGGAAACTAAAACTATATTGTATACCGGACCAAATTCTCAGCTGCATTAAACTCAGATTGGAACAGATAAATGTTCTGGGAGTATGGAAGGAAAGCTTCAGAGTTTCCCCAAAAGGTGTTTCTAATGGTTCTTTGACAGCACAATGACTACTACAGCACATCAGGGGCTGCAGCAATGACTCCCTATCAGAAGAAAACAGCTATGCTCTGAAGCCTGTGACATACGAGGCAGTATTAACCGCAGGCAAATTCCCACCAAGTCTGTGCTTGCCACGCTCCCTTTGTCTGCCACCGCCCCTGTGTCCACCACAGGCTACAAAGGCGAATGGTTTATTGATCAGGTTGGTTTTCTACCATGTCAGGGGTATTGCCCTGCATTAGCAACGGCAGGTTTGGAGTAACATGGGGGTTGAGGATCCTTTAAACAAAGGGAAAATCATACAGTGAGAGCAAATAGGCATAAAGTATCTACTGAAATAGTTAATTGCAGTTTTTGTAATTTATGACATGGATGTTATTGACGTGGTGTCAATAGTAACAGACTAGTTTCTGTGATAGGGGAGATTTAAAGTACCTCCCATCCATTCCTATAGGTCGTTTATATTTTTATGACCAAAGGATTATGACTAAAGGGAAATCTTGGCATTTGATTCCTCACTTCCAGCAATGACATGAAATGTCCATATGCACATGCAAAGGCCTCTTTTTATGGTGAAAACTGATGATGTAGTTCAAGTAAAAATGCCACTACAGGTAGTTTAGATACATTTCCACACTGGCACATGAATATGTTGCAGTTAAATCAGAGATTACAGTAAACCACATCTTTCAAAGAAAAAGGTGGAAAATTTGATTTGCCTGCACACAGCTTTTCCCATTCACGGTGAGGATTTTAAACCTTATTACGCACACAACGAAATAGTCTGATTAACAAATTGGAAAACTATTACAAATGATAACTTGCATTTAGGCTGTTTTGTACAAAGAAACTCTGCCATCCTAGATATTGAGAAGACTTTTCAGAATGCTGATAAGGTAAATGACCAGTAAAAAACGTACTAAGTGCTGCCTGAGATCGAAAGCATTGGCTAGTAGTGGAAATAATGTAACAGGTATTCAGGATGTTGAAAAATTAAGTCATTTTTGTTTAGAAGCCACTCTGGAAAACACAATCCTTATTTTCAAATTTTGTGGCTGTAACACTTATGGACTTAACTCTTGATTTTAATTCTCCTTGACGTGTAGGCCACAAAATGGAACTCAAAACGTAGTTATTTCAGCAAAGTAGCTACTTACTCTATCTGCATTCATTTTCCTGTAGTTTAAAATACAGCTTAAGATATATGATAGTTCAGAATTAAGTCCTAAACTACATCACACTGCAGGATGTTAGAACTTTATTTCTCTGAAGTACACTAAGCTTTTCATCAATGAACCAATGCCATATTATTAATAATATAGAAATAGAAGTATTTATGTCTATATTCCCAGTAATCTCTCTATTCATTAAGAAGTGTTGTATCTGGGATTCAGGACTAATGCAAAAGCACTGAACTCAATAGTCACATTTAGGAGCTTAGTTCTGCTAAGTTCCGATCACTCTCTCAGAGCTGATCACAACCATTAAGTTGAGTGAAACAATGTTCTACACTGTGTAGTCCCTGACCGTATGTGCCTAATGTCTTCCTGTTTAACCACTCAACGAAGCCATATATTTCATTCTTGACTGATGTGATACTTTCAGTCATTTTTAGCACTTCGGTTTCTTTATTTTTCCAATTTGCCTTTAAAATGTTTGCAATTTGTTTGAGCTGTACTACCTGATTTTAATATCAGAGAGCTGTACTCCTCTGGGTATAGAGGTAACAACTGAACGCATTCTGTGGGAAAAAAAAAAAAAAAAAAAACAAAAACGAAAAAAAGACCCACAAAACAAAACAAACCCAAAAAAACCCCCACCAAACAAAAAAGAGCCTTTTTTTGGTATCTACTTGCCTTGATGTTACATGTCCCTCACATAGCCCCCCTCCCCCTCCAAATGAAAAAGTTCCAATTAAAGTCCTATAACAGATAAAAATCAGGTAAAACATTAAAAACAGTTCATTGTGCTGTGCCAATATATTCAAAGGTGTACAGATTAAGAAATAAAAAAAAAAATTAAATAATCACAACAAAATTAGTTCCTGTTAGCTCCTGCTCAGCTGGGGGAGATGGAGGAGAGGAAAATGCCTTATTTCAGTCAGGACTAAGTGTTCTAGAAAGGTTTTGCTACCTGAATTTTTTTGATAAGACGTAAGAACACAATATCACGGTAAATAAGATTGTGGGCTTAAAATAAACACTATCCAATTTCATGGAAAAAAATTCCAATCAATAATAAAAGACAAGACACTTGGTGCATACCAAAACTGAAGGTAGTGCAAAGATACCAGTACTGTGAAATGTAATTTGGTGTTTTAGACTATTAGTTTTCTATTTTAAACAGAGGAATTTCTTTGTTCCTGGATATATTGTGCTGTCGTTCCTTATGTCTTTTAAATTCCAATGGGTGATTGTTGAACCAAAATGACCAAGCAAACCTTGGTAAAAACTTTCTGTGTGACTCATGGCTTAGAGCATTGCAATTGCTGGTTAAACGTTTAGGACAACACTAAAAAATTCTCCAAGAGCAAATACTGTCACAACAGCAGTGACAACCTTTAGCAAAACTACAGACTTCAAAAACCCACAAAAAGAAATCCTTCAAAGCTTTGTTGTCAATTTTCAGTTAGCATATTAAAAAGCATTGAGAGTTTTCCTAACATCTCAAGGCTTGTGAAAAAAATGGACCAGAATGCCAAAGTAGTAAGAAACCTGGCAACTATTTTCAAACAAACCCACACAACTGAATGATGCACAAGCACAACTGAATTTCTGAAATACAACAAACACAATCAAAAATTCTCCAAAATTACATTAGTATACGTACAAATGCATTTCATGCCATCACGCGCATGCCGATGTTCACAGCCAACACACTTCCATCCTGTGAATCCAGGCTTGCAAGTGCACTGTCCAGTGACACGGTCACAGGGGACAGGCAGGGAACCATATTGATCACACTCACATTCCTGGCAGGAGCCTCCTGGAGTTTGTGGGTTTCCCGTGTAGCCAGAAGAACATCTAGACATTGCAAATACAAAACCAGGTTTGGCCAACTGAGATGCATAGTGTACTACAATGAATTGTAAACAAAATGTATATGAACATTCATTCATGAACCATTAAAAAAAATCTTTGGTGCTTCATGACTCGGTATGCATTTGTAGAGGAAGAAATGTTGCAAGCTGTCCAACAAACTAATAATAACTTTTAAACAGGACGTGGAACAGTCTAGATGGAAGGAGTATGCAATAGTGATTCCACATCCCTAACAGTTTTCAGTTAAACTTCTATTATACTACAACAAAAAAAGTTTCTACATTAGTAATAGTTGGTCTACAGATTTTTTTTTTCCCCACTAGCCACTTGTATTTCGTTAGAAGTGAAATCTCATAGTAGACACTTGCTAATTTTGATCATCTTAATCCCACAGCATTGCTATGGATGGGACAATAGCTGCTCTTTAGGTTATTAACCCACAATTTTGTCATTAGTATGTTTATATGTAAGTGTCTTTCACAGTCAGTGCCCATGATGACACAATTGTCACTAGAACAAATGGTATGAGTGACATCAAGACACACTATAAGCATGGTATCTAATTTTAGATAAATTTTGTATTTTTCAGTTTAACTTCTGAGGTCCAGGGGGAAAAAAAACCAAACAACACAAATCAGAAAGTAAGACTAGGACAATATCTGTGATATAAATAACACTGATTATCAATTTACAGTGGGTGTAGATAAAAATTGCCTATTATAGCTGTGTTTAACAACGTATAAAGAGGAGATAACTTATCCGAAGACATGTGTTTAAATATTAGTAAATATATGTTTATAGTATCAAAGAACATTGCTCTCCTTCATGTCTTGCACACCTTTCATTGTCCCTCTTTCTTCTTTTTCCATTCATCCTACCTTTCACAGTACTGGCCTTCATATCCAGGTGGGCATGCAGTACACCGGTAATCACTAGGTCCTTCCACAACACAAGAAGGGCTAAAACTAAAACAAAAGCAAATAAAATTTTTTCCAATCTATTGCATCATTTCACTCAATTCAGCTGTGCAGAAGGGCCCATGGGAAGCTTCATTTTTAATGTAAATTTTTTTTCTTATCTGTTTATAAACACCTGTGGGAGATCCCTGCTTTCTATTAAAAAAATTGTGAATGCCTTGCTGTGATACTAGCACAAGTTAGACAAATGCTGGCAGGGTTGTATCAGAGGGGATGGAGTCAACAATGTCTATGCTGTAGGCTTGTGTGATTGAATGGTGCTGTCACTCACAGTGATCAAGGAAAGGAAGTAATGGGAAGGATATGAAACAAAAGATTAAGAAACTGAGCTAACAAACATCCAGCCTTTCCAATCTGATTTAATTTTCATTTGAATGAAAGGAGATAAGCTAGGAAGAGTTTACTCAAAGGTAAGATATAAAGAAAGGAAGCAAAGTCATAGCCATGTGGAATCTTCTAAAAAGGCAGTGTCAGATGATCTTCTCAGGGACATACTGAAAAGACTGGCCTACAGAGAAGAAAAACCTAAAATCTACTTCTTTCATGATCAGGTGTGGTCATATGTTAATCACAGAGGACACAAGATTATTTTTACTAAGTAACTAGTGACTGCAGTGTGTACCTATGGGAACTATGCAAAGTATCATGTTCCTGGAATATTAGTGCATTAAGCGCCTGCACAGACGGTTAAAACAAATGAAAAAGGTAGGTAGGTGAAAATAAACACAATTAAATGTCAAAATGGTGCAATACTGTAAAATTCTTTCAGCCCTTTGGGGAAGAAGAACCGGAAAAGCCCAGAGGTGGCTAGTAGTGAGCCCAGAACTCCTTCTGGGTACAGAGCAGGATGCTGACTGTACTAATTTGCTTATAATGCATTAAATCAATAGTGCTTGAATGAGCACATAAAATTACACCTTTGCAAAAAAAAAATTTAAACAAATTGATCTATTACTTACAAACTCATTATCCAACACATTTTCAACTCTATAAAAATAGATCCACAACCCTAGGAACACCTCATTCGCTCTGTTCTTTTTTTCTTTTTTTTCAGCTCGTCCTATTTGAAGCTGACTGCTGATTGCAGAGGAGTATAAAATCAGTATCTAAAACCTTAGTGCAGTTTTGTAAAATTTCATAAATAAAAATAATTGCATTATACCATTCACAAATACTATCATGTCAGTCATGACATAAGAAGCTATTGAGATAGCTCATTAACCACCTGCATTTCACGCAGATTATGATTACTTCACTACCATACAATAGCTGTAGGTAGTTTGATTTTTTTTCCTTAATAGTATGTTGAAGAGTTTTCACTGAGCTGCATAACACACACAAATCCAAGGTGTGATACCCTTGTTTTCCACCTAATTCTGTAGCTTTATGGAATGGATCTACCCCACCTAGACCTATCCATCTAAAAGTCAGGAATGTAGCCTAAGCCAGCTGTTCAGGTATCCTCTATCAGAAGTGGAAGATGGGGCTGCACCGAAAGGCATATACACACATTTGAAACGTCTCCTCCCCACCCTCTCTCCAATGGTGGTTTCCTCCAGTTTTAACACGAGTGAGATGTATAGTTGTCTGTCCCTCGTTTACTATACAGGTACCAAAATTGTTGATGGCTACAGCTAACAGAAGTAGCAATCCTATCTGTGATGTTTAGAGACATTGAAGTTAAGCTCTATAAAACACAAGCAGTTCTGTTTCTGGACATGCTCAGATCTGACCACTCTCAACAGTACTAAGAAGTTGGATGACAATCTCATGATTAAGTGTATTTACTAATTGCAGACTAGGTGTTATTCACTTATCTCCTATGAAGGTTTTTGAACAAAAAAGCCTCATGATCGCTTTTAGGTGACCGTGACACAAAAGGCCCTGACAACATCCACCGTCACGCAGGTTGTGTGGCTGCACGAGGTATTGGCGCTTTGCTTCCTCTCCCTTCCTCAGGTAGCTCAGCAATTTGAGGGTGCACCCAGGACACGCGTACTACCCGGAGTCCACACATTTCTCAAGTGTAGAGCACTTCAGTGACACCCCCTTCCTCTGTTTTACGTTAGCTTTTAGATAAGATACAGAAGCAATTTCTGGAGCACAGTGTGGAGAACAGGTCTGAATTCTTGTAGCAGGGTGCCATAACCACCCAGGTGAAGAGTCCTGCTCATTTTCTGATCTGACATCTGTATTTCTGGGCAACCAAAGGTTTTTAAGCCTCAGGAAAAAAGTAGCATCAAATTGTATTTTCAGCACTTCCTACTGCCAGTTAGTAAGAGAAAAAGTTTTTTCCAGTGTATTTGCTGATGTGCAAAGCTGAGAAGCTTGGTTGACCTTGTTCTTTGCAACTTGAATGTCATTTCTTGATAGGTAGGTAGAACATATAATCAAGTCATAACAGAAAACATTCATGAAAAACGGTACAACTCAGAAAAACGTGCAGTAAAGTCAACATTATAACTTTCTGAGATAAAGGGTATTTCTTTAAGCCCCTTTTATAATTGTTTTTGTTGTTCTCAGTTTTGTATTTATGAGGTTTGGAAGTTTTCTTAAAAACACTTGCTGTGGATGAAAGATCATGATGTGTTTAGCTACTGATGTTTGAGAAAGGGATTCCCTCCTTCAAAACATACCTCAGACCACCCCATAATGATAAAATGAAGAAGAAAGAAGAAAAAAAACCCCAAACCCTCTCAGATATACTGGCTGAAATAGTCACTAAAACATCCCAAAGGTTAGACAAAGCACAGAAAAATGGTTTTAAGGAACACTTCCAACCTTTCAAGAGAACAATCATGAAACACAAACCTTTTCAGAGCAGTACTACGGTATGATGCCAAATATCATTAAGAGCTTCTCAGCAAAACAACAAACAAATCTCAAGTGCTAAAGTATCATCTGTTGGGAACACATGTGGAGACATCGTGGCAAGGCTCATTAGCATAAAGCAACCAATAAAATTTATGCTGCAATAACTATATTGCTTTTAAATTATTCTATCTTTCAGAAATTGCCTAAAACTCATGTAACATTAAATAAGGAATCAATAAATTCCACAGTGGAGCAAGAAAGGCACTGTAACACATTTATACCAACATAATATATGAGCAAAAGAGGTTTTACAGCTCCCTCGTGGCTATGTTGTACTTGAGTTCTGCTCTAGCTTCATTTGTGAGAATACCTTTATAACACACATTCATTATCTGTTGAGTGTTGCATTTTCTAGCACTTATTAATTTATTAATCACAAATTAGCAAGGGAGCAATTTCTGACTTTTAAAGGAAGATCAATTAGCAAAAGTAGATACGAAACTTTTCAGTATGGCTTACATGATGCAGTTCTCCTGTAGTCATCTGAAAAAGAACACAGTCAGCCCAAAACAAAGTGCTTGCTTGCTGGAAAGGTAATTCTGCATCATGAGTTTGGTTACTTACTTGTTACTAGAAATGGAGAGGGGACAAGCACAAGGCCGACAGTCACCCGGAGAGCCTTGGACAATACCATAAAATCCCAGTGCACATCTCTCACAGTGGTGACCAGCAGTATTGTGCTGACAATTCTGCAGAAGGAGGAGACAGAATGAAAGCCACATTTGATAATTACAAGAAAGCAGACAACATTTTATTCCCAGCCTCAGGGATTCAAACTTATTTCGATTCATAATTTCTCTCTCCCTGATATGACTCGCAGTGGGACTGCTTGCTTTAAGCATCTATCAAATGCCTGCTGAGTTATATATGGGTTTACAAGGAGAAAGAATGGAGGCCTGTAGCTAGCCAGATGTATCCTATGGAATTTCTTATGCCATTCATCCTTCCTGCTCTCCTTTGTTCCAGCCATTGAAGCAGGAGAAATAATCAGTTAAAATTCAATCTTACTGTACGAGATCACTTGTATTATTACCTACAAGAGCAGTGTTGTGTTTATTGTACAACACATGGTACATTGCCTCTTTAGTTTGCAGGTATCTAGTTTTCCTTTTTACACAAATAGTAATTCAGAGATAAAAAAGCAGTCCATAATCTGAACTCTAGAAAATCAGAATGGAAAACTTTAGATTGGTTGTTTTTATGATCCCCCCCCCTTGAACTTTAACACTTAAGCTATTTAAGCAAAATTGAATTCAAATATTGTCCTCCGTTTTTTTAGATCAGTTACACAACTCATGAATTTTACATTAAGATTAACCTAGTGCATAAGTTCAGAAATGTAATACCTGACAAATTGATGTTTCAGGGTCACACATAGTACTGTGTCCGTGACATTGACATACAACACAGGCACCTAAGGACTGAGCAGGTGCCCTTCCCGCAGGTGGAGACTTAAGCCTATAAAATCCTGGAGAGCATGACTGCAATAAAAAAAGATGCAGAAGAAAACAGATCGTTACAGAGTGGACTGGGTATGGGGAGAATTGCAAGCTCATCTTTCCAATCACCAGTTTTTACAAGTTGTGAAAAGAACCTGACAGGCTTCCAGCTGTGTTACAAACAATATACAGAACTTTACAGATAACAAGAGCCAGCCCTAATTGGAAACATTGCTGAAAAATCCCTGGAGCACTCCACTGGCACCAGGCTTTTCGTATTACAGCTTGAGAGACCTTTCATTCAGATGCAGAACACCTCACTGTTCTCACTGTGCATCAAGCAGCATTCCTTTCGTTTTTTAAGAATAAGGTTCGTTTTTGAAATAAATTTTTTGCATGGACTGTGGAAAGCAAGCATGATGATTATTTCCTTCACCCTTGGTGAGTGTTTCAGGTTTGACAAGCTAACATCTGCCTACATGCTGCCTGATGGATTACAAGCAAAAACCCAATTATAATAATAAAGAAAATGGCTTCATGGCTGCATTATCATGGAATCATAGAATGGTTTGGTTGGAAGGGACCTTAAAGACCGGCTTGTTCAGACAGCTTGGCAGTATAAAAATACAAACGGGACCATTTTGATAGTTCAAACCATTAGGGGTAAGTGCATACAGACAAGTCACCCATCCCATGTTTAAAACCCACCACCTAGTGAGGCTGAAAGCTGATGAGGTCATTTCCTACAGTTGACACAGTTGACCACAATTTTTACTTTTTGAAAGATTGTGAATGTTACACTTTTCACACAGCAACAAAATGGATGCAAAATAAAACAAAAGACAGTGTGGAGTAAGTAACTTTTCATGATCAAAAGCAGGATTCTTCAGTCAAGCACTAGCTGACATGCTAGATTCTATTCATATGACAGCACTCTGACAGTTTTATAATCATTGCCAAAACCTCCAGGAGTCTAAGTTATGGAAAAAGCATAAACACAATTATTTTCTTTAGAATCACAAAGAAAGCAATCTAACTCACTTCTGCTTTTCCCCTTTTATTTTGACTTAGACTACATTAAGATCCCTGAAGCATAGAAATAGTCTATCTGCTATTTCATGGTTTGTGAAGAATTCCAATTTAGATAAATAATCTCAAATGAAAGTAATTTTGTTTCTTACTACAACTTCCTAATTTTTTCCTCCCTCTCCATCCCCACAATCGTCCTTCTCCAAACAGTACAAAGCACAGCTTTACAAGTTCTGAGTGACTTTAGGATCGGGGTATAAATATATGGTACATCGTCAAACAAATCTAATATCTAACCATTTTTTCTGATATGCTATTGACACTCTTCTCACCTATTTTGATCTAAGCATTCCTGAGATGAAACAAGACACAGAAGAAAGATGAAGCAGACTACATTTTTATTACTAGTTTGGAAGTTTTTCAGAAGTAGCCATTAGGGAAACTCTTACCACTGTTTTTCAGCCTGCTATTGCATTTTTTAAAAAAAGAAAAAAAAAGGATAGAAATGTCACTTCTAGTAAAAACTGTTGTGGACATAGTCCTCACAATGCAATTACAAGATAAATCATGAAATAGATACATATCGCCTGTTAGCATTTGCTTAAAAAATGCTGGGTATCAGACGCTTTTTTCTCCTGCTAAAATTAAATAAACCTTCACAGAACACACCATAACCTTCACTGAGCACACTAAAAATAAACTAAGTTATGAGCATGTGAAGATCGCACAATTAAGCATGAAGTATGAAGGTTGCAACCGAGACATTTATTCCAGCCCCTGGTGGGTGTGAATTAAAATAAAGTTCTAATTACATTATCATGTATTTTCCTTCAAAAATGCAATTTGTTACACTAATTTAGAAAAAAAATCTGCACTTCTGAGCACATGCTGGAGCCCGTTAATTTCTCATATGTGTATTTACACACATTCAGGTGTACGCTCTTACTGAAACAGTGTGCAAAGAAAATTACTTCATTCAATTCCTTGCACACATTTCCTATGGACTCACTGTTCCTGTTGCCTCATTTGGTGTGTAACACAATCCTGTATAATATCTGCAGGGAGCAGAGTTCTCGCAGATAACAAGGCATCTTTCCCTTCGTTTACTCACTCCTAATTTTCTCCCACCGCTAACTTGGGGGATCCTTTTACAAGATCCCACTTAGCCAGGATGTCTGAAGGATTTGCAGAACATTCAAAATGTTGTTCCCTATACCGTAGCAACTGCAACGAAGGCATTTGGAATTGCTAGTGCTGCTTAAAAACAGAAACAGAAAGACTGCCAGTCTCATGATCAAGAGCACAAACAGTCAAAAAAATTAACCTCTATTCTGCAGTCAACGTTTTACATCTTAAACACTTTCTCTGGTACCTATCATAAGATACATTTTACAAAAGCATACAAGTCATCTGATTCCCCATAAAAGTTATTAGACTGCTTCTAAGAATAAAGCAAAATACACTATTTGGACCATGTTTCCAGAATTTCTGCTCCTCTTTACAAGCAGCTCCATCGCTTATAAGAGAGGTACTGAAATTTGATAGGAGGCAAGTTTTTGTGTATGGAAGTGAGCAAGATCTTCTCTCTCATGTGAGTCATGGAGGACAGGAGAGGAGCCTAAGAACTGCAGGAAAGCCAATGTCACTCCAGTC